CATTTCATGGTCGCTAAGCCCAAGACGGCCTCCGACCACCACATCTCCCACCAGTCCTTCTCTGTTTGTAAACAGCAGGTCGAGCGAGGCACCTCCCCTGGTAGGCTCACTTACCAGCTGTGTCAGGAAGTTGTCTTCCACACACTCCAGGAACCTCCTAGACTGCTTCCTCTCTGCCGTGTTTTATTTCCAGCAGATGTCCGGGAAGTTGAAGTCCCCCACGAGAACAAGGGCCAGCGATAGAGACACCTCTGCCAGCCGCTTGTAGAACACTTCATCGGCCTCTTCATCCTGGTTGAGTGGTCTATAACAGACTCCCAGCAGGATATCTGCCTCGTTGGCCTTCCCCCTCATCCTTACCCATAAACACTCAACCCTATCATCATCACAATCGTTGAGCTCTAGACAATCGAAACACTCCCTAACGTTTAATCTACTGTTCTTTGTTTAGCCTATTTTTTTATACATAATCGTTGGTTTTTAGTCAGCAAAAATTACTACATAGATGTTAGGACAACATGTTTACATTTAGAAGAAAAATATTTAATTTTCTTTGAAAATACTTGCTAGACCTGAAAAATTCAGGGCATAAGCTGTTCACTGATTACCAAGGCTTATGAAGAAAGAAGCAGCTTCTGTCCAGGCAAGTCTGACTCACAACAGAATTTTTTTGCAGCTGCCCCATAAGAATCTGATGATACCCAGCGCTAGAATGCTGGAGTGACAATGAGAGTGGATGGACAGGGAATATCCACCATCTTTTTTCATTATATGTGAGAAAAGACATATTGCATCAACAAAAGCAGAAGAAAACAACAGGCCACAATCACTATTCAGTGCATGGAGGCAGGATGTTCATTTCTCAAGTCAAGTAGAGCACTCAGAGAAGAATTTTGTTTGGCCCTGGACTGTCAGTGCAGGAATTAGACTGACCAGGAAAACCAAGAAAATATTCAATGCTGTGATTATCAAACTCAAATCACAGTAACTTTAATGTGTCAGAAAGGTTCCCTTGATACTCAGTATGATTTTTTTCCTCTTTTTTATTCCAGTATTTTCCAGTTCTACACCTTTATTATTTTAAAAGTCCAAAAATACAGAAAAAAGTAAGTCTCAGGTTCTTTTTATTTGCAACTGTGTATGTCAGAGATAGCTTTAGAACAAGCTAACATTACTGTGGTTCAGGTGTATGCAACTGGTACAGTTCAGTAGTACATAAACAACTCTAAAACAAATGCACCATAGAACTTAAATTACCAAAAATAAACAATATTAAACTATGAAGGGGAGTAGGTAAAAACAGTTACCTTTAGGTCTTGCGCACTAAAAGAAAAATATCTAATTATGACTGAAATTGTGAAGTTCTACTACAGATTATTGAGATATGTTACAAAGAAAAAGAAACTTGAGAAGTTGTTGTCACATTTTGGTTTTGTTCCAGTGATGTACAGTTTTTTCATGAAATTAACATCTAGTTACTTTAACTACAATATTTTATGAGTTTATAATGGGTTTTGGTAGGGTTTTTTTATTTTTGAAAAACTTGCATGTAAAAACATTTAAAGTAAAATAACGTTGCAGGTTCTTTACAGATTCCTTATGGATTATAGGATTAAAAGCAGTCAGGAAGCTGCAGTGTTTTTAACATTGGTAAACAAATACTGGATTAAAGTGCAACAGTCCTTCTGACGGCAAACCTGCTCTGTGCTGAAAGGAAATATTTTCCTCTCTGCAGAGAAGCGAAGAAAAATTTCAGTGTCAGGCATGTTTCTCTCGAAAGTCAGTGATGGCCTTCCAGAGCGTGCATAGCATTCCTCCTCTGTAAAGAAAAATCATAAAGATGCTCAGGTACAAAGATACTTTCTAGCCTGAAAGCATTCCAATTTACGTGCCTTCTGATTTTCTTACTTTTTTTGACCAATGAAATTCAGTGGGAAGGCTGATCAAAGGTGACATTCAACACGCAATACTCAAATAGAGAACAGAGTCCATTTCTGATTACAGTACAAGGGGAATCTTTATACTTTTCAGATGCCTGCTTTCTGGAATTCAGACTTCTGGTCCAAAGGACCTGCATAACCCACAGCAGACTTCCAACGTTATGAAAATGTCAATTATGAAAAAATCTTAACACCTGCCTTTTTTTTAAATTTTTATGTAGTTAGTTATTTTTAAACTGATGGGGCACACACAGAGTGTTTGATAACTTCTATTGTTTCTACTTAACCTTGGTTCTGCAGTGACCCACACACCTGGCGTGATTAGGTGAAATCTAGTATTAGCTGCAGTCCATGAGTAGTATTTCTCAAGTTTGATGATGATGACACACTACAGAAAATTTTGCTATCTCTACCTTTTTAAAAAAAGCAAGACTCTGATCGGATATCCAGTGTTTCCAGGTGTAAGGTAAAAGCTTTACTTTAAAATTTGCCCTTTGCTTTCCTTTAATAGAAAAGCTTATTTTAAAATTTAAACAGCATCAGCTGTTCATCAGGAATGCATCAGTATACAAAGACATACTGGAAAGTGTTACTTATTTTAAATTAATACTGCACAATCCAATAAATAGAGGCTTAGTATCAGTTATTTTCTCTTGTAACAAA